AAATATCTAAATTTGATTTTTTTACATTACTTTGAATTCCTTCCCCCAAGACTTACAATTAATCAATCAATAAAGGAAGTAGTAGAGAACCATAGTAAGATAATACCTGACAGCCTCTCTTTTCAATTTCCATAATACATTTCTGTATCAGAAGGGGCACCATCAGTCCTATATTTTCTTTCTCTACAACTTTTTGAATATCAACTCCAAATATTATTGGTTCTTGGTTTATGTCTAGTCCATGAAGAGAATTCTCCCACTGTTCCATAAGAGTCACTTTCACATAAATAAGACCTCTAGGTTCAAGTTTGACAGCCAATTGATGAGTCTTTGTCACTCTAAATAAGGCGGGAAGAACAACAGTTCCATGACAACAAACTCGATTTTTTCTTGGAGTGGGTTCCCAGCTGAATACTACTAGTTTCAAATGTTGTGCATTTTCAATTTCTATGTTGAAAGTGTGATCCATGTCTAAAAATGTTGTTCGACATGTGAGCAAAGCTGTTCTTGCTTTGTTTACTGAATCTACCTGAATTGCACAAAAGACATCTTTTGAATCTATCCGAGGTGGTTTTAAATCCTCAGCACCATAGAAATGTACACTCATGAGCCCAGATATGTACTGTGAACACTTAGGTTGATCAGAAAAGCTATAATGCCTAAAAGCATCAATGTCTATTTCATTCTTGCTACAACTATTTGAAATTATTTCTTTTCCTCTTCCAAATTTGTTTTCAGATCCATGTTTGCTAGCTTTAGTTATAAGTTCAGGTGAGTCTCCATCACTAAGGTAACCACCTTTGCAGGAATACTTAGAACTCATAGAGTTTTTCTTCTGGTAGTTGTGCTGGGAGGATACACTGGTATCAAGATGGTATCGGCTTATAACATTTCTCTTAGCAGCTGTGGTTGTGTTCCCAGAGGGCAGAACATCAGTATGATGAATTTCTCGGCAGTTATATTTAGACAAAGAAGGAGTGTTATCTGGACTGTTTATATAATTCAATGTTCCCTTAACACTTAGCTTTCGGCTAAATTCTGGCAACTTTTTCATTTTCATGGAAAGTTTCCTCACAGTTCGTGGAGATTTTATTTTATCTGGCAAAGACCAATTAATTGAACTGCCTTTTTTCACAGGGCTAGGATTTGGAGAAGATGGTTCTATAATTCCCAATTCAGTACTATTTGTAGCAGCCAGGATCCCTGAACCTTGAAAAAAAAAGAAAGAAAGAAAAATATATTATAAAGCAGTATGTTTTGATTTCTACTTTTATTCTTATTTTATAAACCATCAACTAAACAAGCTCCCACATAGGCAGAAATTCTTCTCTTATTCATCTTAATGGGGAGATTTCATTAGAAGTTCAGCTCAACTTCCATCGTGATACTCAAGCAGAATACTGCATTATCCCAATTATTTAAAATTTAAGTTAATTTTTCATACTTTGTCTATTCCTTATAGAGAAAGATCTAATAACCTCACATCAAAAACTAATGTATGTAACACAATATTTCACAATTAAAATGAGAAAAAGTATTTATTCATTTTAAAAATCAACAAATGATCTTTCTTCAAAAAGTACTAATATTCTCCCTCCACCCCTATGTGTCCCAGTGACAAATAAGTAGTTTCTTTATAGAGAAAAACCTATTTTAAGTATGCCTACAGGGCTTTTCTAGTAAGAAGATAATAGAAAATGGAGTGTTTGATAAACTGGATAAAGCATCCCCTTGTACTAAAATTATAGTACAATTCTACTGGCTTAATAGTCTCAAACATTCTAGAGTTAATCAGGGTCCTGCTTTAGTCTATAAACATCAACCTGTCTATTTTATCACAGCCTAGAAAAGCTATCCAATATATTAAATTGCTTTAGATTAAATACATTATCACATTTAAAAATTTGACTCTTTTTAACATATTGTAAGTAATTTCTACTGAAGTCCTTAACTAATTATTAAAATGAAATACTGTACATGATAGCAACTTCTACTGCAGATAAGACTGAATTTATTAAAGCCAAATGCTTTGTTTTTATAAACCCCAAGAGCCAAAATATTACCAAATTCCACAGTCGCTTAAAATTAAACTACAACTATACTAATCAAATCACATAGTCTCTTTAAAAAGAAGGTACAAAGTAAAAATCTTTAAATATAAATTTATGAACTAGGCTAGAGTCGAGTGAAACTGGCATACTCCTTCAGCACCTAGAACAGTAACTGGTACATAGCAGGAACTCAATATTTAGTGAATAAATGAATAACCAATTGTTAGTTGTCTTGTAAACTGGCAAACTTTGTAGAAAATGCAATATAGAAATTAACAATAATAATTACCAGCCATAAACACCAAGTAATGATCCTGGTAATTGTTCTGAATGAAGTAAAAAATATTATTATGAAGATCACTGCAACAGCACCAGAAACAATCTATCAACACCTAACATTAAGCAAACAGTCAAATAGATTAGGGCACATCAACCCAGCTAAATACTGTACTACAATGCTTGAGAAACAATACTACTCTACATGTAACAATGCAAGATGAAGATACCAAGTAAAAATAGCAAAAATAAAAAATAAAGTCCACTATGATTGCAACTACATAAAAGATATATATATGTCATGGTGGCTCACTGTTATCCCATTACTTTGGGAGGCTGAGGCAGATGGGAGTTCAAGATCAGCCTAGACAACATGGCAAAACCCCATGTCTCCAAAGATACAAAAAAATTAGCAGGTGTGGTGGTGAGCTATAGTCCCAGCTACTAGGGAAGCCAAGGTGGGAAGACTGGTTGAGCCGGGAAGGTCCAGTGTTTCCCAGGCTGGGAGGCTAGCGAGCCGTGATTGTGCCATTGTGCTCCACCCTGCAAAACACAGCAAAACCCTGTCTTAAAAAAAAAAAAAAAAAAAATACATATATATCTGGAAGTTAATCAGGAAAAAACAAGTCATAATTGTATTAGGATGAATTAGCTTTCCAATTCTCTGATCAAAAATTATTTTGAAATTCAACCATTTTCTTTGCCAATTTCTCAAGAGCTTTCTGCCAATATTGCTAAGAAACAGATCACTTTAGGTAATGGTTTTTCCACCAAAATAAAACAACAAAAAAAGACGACTTATAAATAAACTGTCTATATATTTCTTTTGGTCAATTTAGGATTTTTGACCAAAAAATATTTTAATTATATATTATAATCATATATTTTACAATATTAAATGAAATATTTAATATTTATAATATATATTTATAATTATAAATATATTTTAATTAAATATATATGAGAAGAATGACAGTAAAAAAGGAGATAGTAAAAAAAGCAGATATACCATACTTTTAAGTTATATTTTTAAAAAAAAATGTTAGTCTTTCCGGGTTCACAATTTGCCACAAACATTAAAAAAAAAAAGTTTAAGGATAGTCACTTAAATCAAGGTGTGTGTCACTTCATGAACACCAACTTTCTATCTTTGCTTTTATCCTTACACTCTCTTGCCTTCTCTGAACTATTCCATATCCATCACTGTGATACTATAGCCTTCCCTATCACTCCACCCTGATCACAATCTGCATTGCAAATTACTATTTTATATAGTATTTATTTCTCTCCCCGTCCGGACTACAAAAGAAGCACACATTCACTCTGGAGAATTATCCTATAATTAGAAATGCACAAAGAAAAAATTTAATTACCTTCAATCTCAACACTCAGAAAAAAATAAAAACAAATAAACAAAAAGACACTTAACATTTCCAGGATAGCTTTCAGCTTTTCTTTCAAAATTGCCATCATATAGTACACATTGTTTTGGAACTTGCTTTTTCTCTTAATATACATTTACTCTACCTTTCTATGTCCCTGAGAAAAGGTTTCAAATGTAAGTAGTTTATTTGCAAAATACAGAAACAACAGCGAGGGAGTTGAGAAAATTCAGCAGAAAATTCAAGCTGAATTATTAAGCCTGCTATCACTATGGGCAACTGGAGCTTGACCTCATGAGAAAACTCTGGAAAACAACATAGAATATGAACTCAGAATTATTCTGCCCAAGGGTTGAGGGAGCTGAGGTGGTTCTATACCAGCTCTTGTCAGGCACTGGTTGAGAGGCACGCCCAGGCTGCCCTGCAGAGAGATTCTCTAAGACTTCAGAGAAAGTCCTTAAGCAGAGATGAAGATGTTGGTGTCTGGAAATAAGCTTCTCCCATTTAAAAAGTAAGTAATAAAACCCAAGGGATATAAGACAAAGCACTGACAGCATCTCCTATACCCCACATCTTTAAATATTCTGCATCATTTGAAATTCTGTAAATTAAAATGACTTGATATAAAACAGAACTGCTTTCTATTCTACACTTGATATTTGCAAGCAAATGTGCCTTACGTTCTGTTTCCTGCGTACTGTGTCAGGGACTAAAAGAAGCATATCAGAAAATTAAAGGCAATTTTTGCAGATCAAAAACTTTTGAATATCTGCAATTTCAAATGGGTTAACCTAATATACATAAAACTTCAATTATTTCATTTTTTCAGTTCCATAACTACTGTAGCACTTATTTTCACATGGGTCAACTTAATCTACATAAAACTTCAATTACTTCATTTTTCAGTTCCATAACTACTGTAGCACCTATTTGCAAGGGCCTTACTTCTACTTCTCATTTCTTTCTCTCTTCTCTCTTTCTTTTGCTCATGAGGAAACTTAGGCATAACAAACACAAACTAATGACCACTGATACACTAAAAATAAAACTTTTCAGCTGCAGCCAGGCCAGGTGTAAATGAATGAATGAATGAATGAATGAAGCAAAATAAGACTTACTTTTTCTTCAACTCCCTATGATTTCTTGCTTCCAACTAATAGACAAGCAATTACTATCTCAAAGGATTGGCATATTAAAGCACACTGGACTATAAAGTCAAGTCTGTGGCCAGGCACAATGGTTCACGCTTATAATCCCAGCACTTTGGGAGGCCAAGGTGGGTGGATGGCTTGAGGTCAGGAGTTCTAGACCAGCCTGGTCAACAAAGCAAAACCCTGTCTCTACAAAAGAATACAAAAATTGTCTGGGCATGGTGGCAGGCACCTATAGTCCTAGCTACTCAGGAGGCTATGGTAGGAGGATCACCTGAGCCTGGACGTCAAGGCTGCGGTGTGCCATGATTGTGCCACTGTACTCTAGCCTGGGTGGCAGAGTGAGACCTTTTCTTAAAAAATAAAATAAAACAAAGATCAAGTCTGTGATAGTAATAATTAAACCAGCATGTACGTTAAAATGTTTATAAACCTTTTTGAGTTTTATTTTCATGAAAATATATTCACAAGAAAAAGTATAACAAACATCTTTTATATTTAGTTTTAGCTACTATCAAATAATTGAAAAATGGAAGAAGAAAGAAAAGACAGATATATGATCATTTTTACCTGCAAAAGATTTCAACATAGGACTGTCCTCTACCATTACACCTTCTTGTGTCTTGTGTCCTAGCCTTTGCTTGTACTGCTGCACAAATTCTGTGGAACGGGCAGGATCCATAGGATTCATTCCATTTGACCATGTGCTCTGAATATCACCTGTATGTTCGGAAGAGCACAGCGAGTCTTCAGTATGCTGCTCTGCTTTCATCAGGTCACTGCCAGACAACATGCTTAAATTGACAGCAGGGAGCTTCAGAACAGCAGAGTCAACCTCACCAAACCTCAAGGCACTTGACATACCAAGGTCATCATCCTCAGGAATGGGGTTGTACCATATTTCTCCTTCATCATCTGCATCATTTTCCTCATTGAAATCTAAAGCACAGTTTTTCGATAATGAAGAGTTTGTAGCGTTACATACCACATATGTACAGTACTCTTTAGATGATTTGAGGAAAGACTGTGATAGCTGATA